GATACATTTCATCTTTCAGGTCCCAGATTGATAATTTATCTCTTTCGGGTCCTGAATTGATAAAATTCCTTAAAAAAAGTCATTTGTAAAAGGGTAATCACCCTTTCAGCCCCTTAAATAGTACCAACATTGAAATACAATCCCCGTATTTTTCAGTTTGTAAAAACAATCATTCAATTGTCAAAATTGTTACAAATGTGATCATTTGATGGGTGACACTTACAATGTGAGCTAGGACCACATTATACTTGCAAAATCTCAGGCAATTAAGATGTGACGTTTACACATTTGAGAACAGGAATTACATTTCAATGTAGACACTATTTGAGAGAATAGAAGTGCAATTTGTCCTTTGTAAAAACATAATTGCTTGGTATGTTCACTCCAAATTATGATCACGATTCATGACATCTCTACATTTCAATGTAGACTACAATTAAATGAGAATGATTTTGTGCACTTTCACTTGAGAGGTAATGTTGACACTTTTTAAAATTGTGAAAAACTATTTCTTTTCTTAAAGAAGAACACTTATTTATCAATAGCTCAAAGCTACTCTGGAGTGAGACATAGAACTGATCAGTCTCTGAGGACTCGACAAATTCGCTAACACCGCAACATGGTTGACTGATCTAACAACATCGATGTACTTGCTACTAAAATAAATGGTTCAGAAACTAGAGAGTTATTAAACTGGAATGAGCAAATAGAATTAAATTTGTTGCTCTTCCAGCCACCAATAAGGGAGAAGAGGTTTGATCAACCACTTCCAAGGACGTCATTCCGATTTGACCAGTCATCGGAAAGGGAGAAGAGGTTTGTCCAGTCACCTCCAAAGGAAGCATCACACTTGGAATAACTAATAAAATTTCAGGCGGTGCTGATCCAGTAGCACCGGTGCAGAGCCATTTTCTAGGCCTATTCCGTCTAGCTCCATACTAACTTCAGCTTCCACCAAGTTCCACAAATCCACCGCTTTGTGCTTCCTAGATTCCCCTTCTTGGAAAACCCTAACAACTTCCACCAGGTACGCCACAAAATCATTTCATCCCCAAAATCTTTTTAACCACAAAATCTTTTGGGATTAAGGTTTGGATGTTGTTGTATACTCCCTCCGGTCCGTATTAAAGTTCTCACTTTCCTTTTTGGGATGTCCCTTATTAAGTTCACACTTCCATTATATGAAACAAAACAGTGCAAAACAGTGTCAAACAGTGTCCAAACAGTGCCAAACAGTGCACTCCACAGTAAAGTCAAATTTATTTTCTTAATCTGTGTGAAGTCAAACTGGAAACTTTAATAGGGACCGGAGGGAGTACATATAGTATTTCAATTTTGAGATTTCACATTACTCTATTATTGAATTGGAAAAATTGATACTAATAATCCCAACTATTGGCGGTCCGCTCATAATAATCCCAACTATGAATTATTTTAGAATAATCCCAACTTTAGGGACCTTCCGCCAATAGTGATTCCTATAAATAAATTCATGTAGTTTCTAAAGTGGATGAGGAGTAATATAGCAAGTAATCCCTATAAATAATCTCAATTTTTAATTTTTACACTTAATTTCTATTTAAAATTCACTTTTTATAGGAGGTAATATATGACCATGGACCATTATTGGCGGACGATCCATATAGTTGGGATTATACAAAAATAATCAATAGTTGGGATTATTATCAGCGGACCGGCAATAGTTGAGATTATTAAGGCTTGGATGTTGTTGTATACATGTAGTATTTCAAATTTGAGATTTCACATTACTCTATTATTGAATTTCACATTGCTTTTTCTCCTGTTTGAGACAATTTTTGTTGTATATATATAAGGAGCAAATAAAACAAAGGAATTAAGAATATGTCATCAATTAAGTAAGGTAATTGTTTTCTAGTCGTATTTGGTAGATACTTATCACTAGAGAAACAAATTCAATGAAAATTATTCCACTATGTATACAATGCCACGGGCCGGACAACACTCTTATTGGAGTAATTAAGGGACCACAATGTAACAATGAATTTATTTAGGAAGTGATTTATAGGTCTGATAATAATTCATGCAGTTCTTCAATGACATGTCTTAATCCAATTATTGCTTCACAAGCTTATGCATTACCTTTCTTACCAACTTTCTCCATCACTTTGTTCTCTCTCCCAGCTTTCCTCTTCCCTCTTTCCCTTTTCCGCAAGTTAGACTATAAAGTTTAGTTAAAGTGAATGCAAAAAACTATCAGTATTAGTATATCACAATAAAGAGCTAAAGTCTGTAACAACTAATAATCTAATACTCCTTAAGTTTTTGGACCTTGGTGAAACTGATGGTAAGGTGTATGAGTAACTCCCCATGCTAGAATTGAGTGTGGGGTTTGTTGAAAATTACTAGTAAAATTAAAAGTTTACAAAAATGTGACTAGTAATTATAGTAGTAACTTATTTATAGTAACTTATGTTTAGTTTTAAATTTACATGACCATGACATCATACTGTAGTAACTATTGGTTTTACTTGTGTAAATTAGTTTTATTTTAGTAATATTTTTGGGGGAAAACTCTTAATTAGTTACTCTTTAGGTCCAATGTGTCGTATTTTTTATTTTATCAATGTAAATGAAACATGAATTGGGAGACTTAGAGCCCGTTTGGTAACACTGAAATCGGCTGTTTCTGCTGATATTTATGAAGTTATGACTGAAATGGTTGTATTACCTGATTTTGCTGATTTATGAAAAAAAATATAATATATTTTATTAATAAAATAAATAAAAAGTTATATTAAAAAATAACTAAAATGATCATCTACAGTAACTTCAGCCCATACAACCAGAAAAGTAACATCAATTTTACTTTTTCTTATTATTATACAATTCAGCGCGTGAAATCAAAAACAACGTGTTTGATAAGTCCAGTAAACCGAAAAACATGCTCACCTAACGGGCTCTTAAGTTCTAACCTAAACCGGAGGGGTAGAACTGCAGAACCATGTTTTTTTTAGAATAAAAAGGCAGATCCAATGTAAGGATCTAAATCTACTTTTTCAAACACTTACGATTGTCAATTTTAATCCAAACCGGACCCAGTATCAGACTTAGATTGGATTGGTAAAAAAAGTTATAAAGGGCATGAGGGTAAGGCCAAGTAGAATGTGCTTTGGTGAATTTTGCACAATTATTAGGATCAGAAAATATCAAAATATGTCAACTTCTACGTTCTATTTTGGGAAACCATTTCAAATCATGACGTGGTCCTTCACTCGTTAAGATTTACGGATTTGGGTAACAATGTGAATGGATGGATGGTGATCCAATTGATTAATGGTGGGTGAGTACTGCCCACTACCCCTACTCCTCACCACCAACCAATATAATATGTGGTTCTGTTACATTGAGAATCAAACAGGAGCTAGGTTATTAAGATTTTGAATTATGTATCAAAAGAAATGGTATAGACTATAGACTTGGTCCCAAGAGTCCCCACCCTGACTCGACAGGATGGTAGGAAGGTTAATCATGATGACTCAGTCAGCAAAGCGGTGGTAGGCCTTATAAACGTGTGCACCAGAGGTCCAGCCTTATTTCACGTTCTGTAACCTTCACACGGCCGCTGTGAGTTTCGAACATTCGTCACTTGATCCAATTTTCCCACCACTCGACCAACTGAGCTACCCGAGCGGATGATATAGACTATAGACAGGTCTACCTTGGCACACCTAAGGTCGCGAAATGAGGAGTTAATAAAGCGGGTTTTTATTATCGTTAATGAATTAATAAAATGCAATTAAAATAAGTCTAAACTAAGATCAGCCATATACTATCAAATATTTATTGGAGATAAACATACTAGGATGTACGATCATGGTGTTATTGTGCGTTCGAGAGCTACATGTTCAAATCTTAGAAACCCTTGTGGTGGGACACTCTTTAGACATATCGCATACGCACGCCTTATAGAATGCAAGCTTGACACAAAAAATGTGTCACGCTTGACATATAAAAACACATGCTCATAGGCTCATACATAACCTAAGAGTACTATCATAGGTTTGTTGCTCAATCAACTTGTCATTGCCTTCATTCGTGTGTTTTTTTAGCAAAGATGAATATTAGAAGAAAAGGAGACTTCGAATATCCGTTGACTTAAGTCAACTTCGTCGATCACTAAAGATTCCTTCCATATCGGGAGCATAATTTGAATGAACACTAAGAACAATATAGGAAAAAGATACAAAGTCAAAAAGTAACAAAACTAAATATTAATATCAGGTTCAAGTTTAATCAATTGAACAAGAAAAATGCAATCACGAAACAACCTTTAAGTGGGGAAGAATATGAGCATGATTCGTTGGAAAAGAAGACAATGAAGAAAAAGATTAGAAAGACTCCTAAACAATAAAATTCAAAAGATGGAAGAAATGAAGATACGAATGAGAGATTGACATGTTTTTCTCGACAATGTCAAAAAGATCATCTAAATGTTGACATTGTTTTTGACATTGCAGAAAAAACCTTACTAAAATTGTACAAAATCATTTAAATAAGGAGTGAGATAATTTATTTGCTAATATTTATGTGAGTACCTCGCATGCGACATGTGCACCGTACACATTGTAGCATCGAAGATGTATTAAATAAATAACTTGTCATAATATTATGTGTCCGAAATCAAGGAAGTACCAAAACATCCTAATTTAAGTCAATAGAGTGGAATTTTCCTCATTTCAATTAGTCAATCATTTCACATAAATTATCTTTAGCAGAAGAGTTGTTAACGTGTCATTTAAATTGCAAGCGAAGACTTGCAAACTACGCGTACCCGCACAGATATTAATACTCCTACTGGCTGGCTAGCTAGGCATCTTAACTCACATCAACATCTTGAAAAAGAAAGCAAACTGAATGCAGCTCAATCATTTTTTTATTCCTATTCTCTTTTCTTTTGTTATTTGTTTGTTATCCATTGCAATTGCTTCATACTCAATGCATGTCAGTCTGGCACAAAATTGTCATTATAATTTATACTACAGTGCTCATTTCTATTAAAAAAAAAACTCTTTTAGGCGTTTTCAAGAAAATAAAGGATTTACTTAAACAACATAGAATTTTGAAGGTTCCTTTTTTAAACAAAATCATAATACGATACATATACTAAGAACTATCTGCCTAACCTCAAAATGAATACCCTACAACTAACTGAATTTACATGAGATGATTATAACCAAAAGAAGGTTTATCTGTAATGAATCCACCATTAATGTCTATTCCGTGAAGGCTGGGCAAGGAGCCATCTCAATAGTTCAATAGGGAGTACTTCAAGCGTAGCATGATTTTACCCTTATCAACCCCAAGCTTAGCCCCAGTTACTAGCCAATGACCAGGTGTATCCTGTGGCCCCTTGCACATTTCCGTCATATCAACAATTTTCCCAAGTTTTCCTGTTTGGCTAGATATCGAGGAGGAGGAAGAACCATCAAAACTTGGGGTGGAGGGATTGTGGTCCCACACAGATCTCCTTATCGTACACCCGGGCACCTTGGAGAATAGAAGTTTTAGGTGTAAGACATTCTTAGCACCGAAATTCCAAACGCCCAGCTGGGCCCCAGTCACAATATGAACGCCAGAGAGGTCCCCGATTGACGTTTCAGTGTGCTCTATGGGTGCGGTGCTTACGTGGGAGAAGTTCTTCCACTTTATCGGTTCGAACCACCGGCTGTCCTGCTCCTCGGGACCGTGCCACTTCGGTGCACCAATAGCCATGTGTGAGTCCCAGTGTGGATGAAGAATCTTAGGAAGAGAAATGAGGTGCTGTAAATGGATGGCAAGACGGTTCTGCTTGCACCCTTCTAGGCTCAGTCTGAGCCCAGTGACTGGCTTACGCCCCACCGTTACCTATTTTAACTAGTATCAGTTAATGAATTTTCATCATACCAGATTACCAGTTTTAAGTAGTTCAAGAAGCCCCACACCATATAAAAATAAATAATGCATGTATAAAGACTTGAAATTTCATTCAAAAAAGTGAACTAAATGGAGTGTCCCAATATCTTATATGTTGATTTGTAATTCTATTTTTAGCGTGACATCTCTTATGGACCATTAGTTTTTCATAGAAGTGCCACATTATTGCTACAAGTTAGATTTGGCTCTAATAACATACTCCCTTTGTCCCAATTTGATTTGCAAAATTTCTTATATTGGTTGTCCCGAAGAGATTTTCACCTCTAGTTTAGGTATGGAAAGATGAATAAAGTGACAAACTTACCCTTAGTTTTATAGTTTTACTCCTTTCCTATTTATTTAAGTGCCTCTGCTTTATGGGAGATAGGGAAAAATAGTAAAGCTACACTTTATTTGTTAACTTCCTTAATTCTTGTGACAGTCACCTTTTGCAAATCAAATTAGGATGGAGGGAGTATTTAGATTTCAAGTTTCATCCTTAAAGGTGAACCTAATAGTAGAAATACACTATCTTATACTCCCTCCGTCCCCTTTTAAATGTCCCGGAAGAGGGTGACACGAGTTTTAAGAAAAGTGAGTTTGTGTGGTTGATAGTAATTGATAAAGTAAGAATAAAGTAAGAATGATTTTGAGGCACACAAACTTTACCAAATAAGGTATGAGACAATTAAATAGGGACATCCCAATATAGTAAAATGAGACATTTAAAAGGGGACGGAGGGAGTATATTGTTTTGTTTTTTCCTATTTAGCTGATGCAGAACAAATTCTTCAGCAAGATGAGCTTCAACCTCAAAAGATATGGCATAAAGTTAGAAAGTCTTCCTGTGGTAGATTAAGAAAAATGCCAGTTAAAGGAAAAACTGATGCAGTTAGCATTCCACTTAATCATTTAGACCAGTATTGCGCTCTCGCACATTCAATTCATAATCATACATTATGCTATTTTGCACCATTTTACATGGTCTATGTATTTGATAAAAAATTGATTGTTCTAGTTGTTTCATTTCGCATTTCATCTTCACCTGTCATCATTATCATCTTGACACTGCAGTTACCATTTGTATCTAGTTGTGGTAAACATATACAAAGTCCAGCTAGATGTTTGACCAATGTTAACATCAATTATATCAAGGCATATAAGGTGTGGAAAAAAGAGCAGTGGTATATGTACCTGATATGGACTAATATGAAGTTTTGGGCCTATCAAACTGAACTGAAGAGTTGGGCAGACGGGCTCCTTCCGCTGGAGGTTATTCTGCTCTGGAGCCCAAACTCTAGGAATTTGAAAGTCTAAGAAATACTGCAAATCCTCTATAGGTGGCTTGTCTGGTGAAATTCATAAAATACGATGTATTAACAACAATAGCCTATGGGGACAGCCAAAAATTTGAATTTAAAAGATAATAGTCAAATACTACCTACAAAAACGTGGGATTTTCCCAATTATATTACTAAAACAGAATTCATAGACGAAAATGTGACTGCATGGTCACTACGGTCACTGCCAAAATTTCACCAAGGTAATTGGATGTTGAATAGAACATCACTATTGTCACCACAGTCACTGCGGAATTACCACCATAGTGACTGTGCATGAGAAGTTTTTTGTACACTATTGCTGTTTTAGTCATTACTTTAGTCATTAACTTGTCATTATTTCATAAAAACATATACATGTAGCACTGCTAAAAATGGAAAATGCAGATAAGAATAATACTTACATTCCAAGTATAACTCAATTGCACGTGATAAGTACTTGATTCCGGGAACCCCTTCGAGCAAGGAAACAATAGGTGTAAAGGTCATATTAATCACATCTGGAGTCTTATTTACAGTCTTGGCCCATTTATCATGACTCTGCTCAAGATCGTCACCTCCTCTTCTTCTGAAAATTACAGTTACATCCTGCAACCAAAGTTTGTTCACACTATTTCAATGCACTAATATATTTACTGAATTCTGCAAGTGAATTAACTATGCAATAATGTATATAGAACAAAATATGGGGAAAATAAGAGTACTCTTGGTTTAATAAGCAACATATATCATGTAACTTTTAAAATCACAAACCCAAACTGGAACCTGAAAGGTACCACAAGAGGGCCTTGGAGTTGATTAATGATTCGTAATGATTTTTTTCTTCTTTTCTTTTTCACATCTCTTGAAACATAAACAAGAAAATGTGTTTGAACAATAGTGTCTTTTGACTTCACTTTCATATTTCTCGAACTATAAACATAAACATTTCTGATGAACAGATTGGTAAAAATTATCAAAAACTTGAATTTCTCATTTTGATTTTTTTACGTATTTTCCCAATTTAGACAAATTATAAAGCATTTAGGTATTTTTACAAAATCGTACAATTTGGACTCAAACAAACAATAAATCATATCTATAAAAATGGAATTACAAAGCATGTTTTATACTCTGTATTTTAGAACTTTGATATTGGATTGGAGTAGAAGAAAACAAAAAAATGAAAATCCATTCCACCACAAATCGAAAAATGTTAACAAACAAACTGACCTTGTCCTTGTATTTCAACGGGCCGGAACTTGGTAGGCCTTTTGAATCTGAGAACCTTTGGTCGCCTATATCCTTCACATAATTTTCAATGTCAGTCATCGACAAAGGAGACGACTGATGTTGTTTAACATAAACCACATCCCTTCCACCAATTGTTGCAGAGGTGACAATATGGGTGCCATAATTTTCAATGAAACTGGGAAAAGAATTTCAAGTCAGAGGGACAGAGGGCAGGATAATATTTTTTCTTGAAAATATTATCTCCATTTTCTTAGGGTCTCTTTGGATCACAGAAAATGTTAGCGAACAAAAAATACTATTAAAAAGTTATATTCTTTTGTTTAGCTTTATGCCTTTACTGGGGAAACTGTAAAGGAAAATAAAATATGATTACTGTTTTTGGAACATTGCAATACTACAAATATTTAGATTTCTTCGTCTTTATGTAATGAATATAAATAAAGAAATAAATAAAATATATTTGAACAAGGATGAAAAATAAAGTTCATTCACTTTGAATCTATCCTATTTTTTCCCTAATTTTCTTTGCTGACAATTGTCCTCCCTATTTTATTTACTTAGTATTGCCCTCGTTCCAAATGAACCCTTAAATAACCAAAAATACTGGGACAGTCTTATACATACAGGATTGATCACCTTGCCAACGATGGTGGATCCCAAGAACATGGAACAGCGTGTTTGAATTCATCATGTGCAACTAAAGACTTTGATTTTGCTAGTTTGATGGTGAAGAGTGGAATCATGTGACCAATCATTGCAAGAGACTTTGTGGCCTCAGCATCAAGTTTCCAGGAACCAGTAAAGTTAAACATGGCATTGAAGTTTCCAAGTGGAATCTGTCCGGGTATATCTGACATCTCATTGAAGTATTTAGCCATCTGCAAATTGATTTAACAAAAGGGGGTTCTGTTAGACACTCCAAAGAAAGAATGTTAGCAACATGGGGTAAAAAGCCAAATTCAGAAAGAAAATAAACAAAGTAAAATCAAGAACACATCTGCACACAGTGTGATACTCTAAAGATTAATCTTATACCAAAAGGTTGAATCAAATCAATTGGCTAGTTTACACAATCAAGGTCTTATAAGCTCAAAGTCTTTCTTCAGTGTGAGATTAATCTAAACAGGACTACATTACCTCAAAAATTTTATACTTTTTTCCCTTTAACATGCTCAAATCATCAAGTGCAATAACACCCATAGGTAAGGAAGTAGCATAGATCTTACCATCCAAAATGAAGTAATGTTGTTAGAGAGTCCCATGACAAAATGTTAGTCAGAAAGATGAGTTTATAAGAATTTGGGTTGAACAAGCTAATTGGTTGAATCCAATATGTGACACAAGTGCCTTATCGCCTAGTAGAACGATCTCAACCAAATCCTATATTTTATCATGGTATCAAAATAGATTTGGTGATTTCGGTCCATTTCTTTTGGTTGACTATCCATGTGGAAGTTCATCTCCAGATTGAATCCAACAACATGTGAGCATTTAACCTGCTAATTCTTTTTAATCGAACCATGTGGCCCATTTCACTCGTTGTCAGTGTGGATGTCCAGTCCTAGCGGCCCGTGATCTCGTAGGCTCTCTGTTTAAGTGAAAATGATTGGAGGTGAAAGCTTTGGTGGGCTTAGTCTCTATCTTCATATTCATTTCAGATTTCACAAAAAGTAAAAAAAAATATACTTTTGCATAAGATTCTAAAACGTTTTAGTCACCCTTCTGTCTATTTTTAACCATGTTCTATTCATAACGAATGACCTAAGGTTTCCAAATCATTTCCCTCCAAAAACCTTTATCCAACTAGACCCTTCAGTGTTGCTTTTGCTTTTGTATTATTAGAGGGGAAGAGTACATTGGCAAGCGACCAACAAATCATATTCAAAATGACCTTCAATTTGCAAGTGATGAACCAAATCATCACTTAAAAGAATGTGTTAGAATTTCCCTTCATAATATATTTTGGACCATGAGATTTATGGTCCAACTGTAACAAAGATTCACTATCATCATTCAATCGGGAAGTAACAAAGATTAATTCTCTTACAAGGCAATGGTAGCGAAAACCAAAAGAGTGATCTTAACACAAAACTATTAGAGATGAAAACCATAAACTCTTTTTCTTGTGTTTGGTTATTTGGCACAACTAGCTGAAAAGATAAGCTTTTAGACTTTTTCGTAACTCTTAGCTTTTAGTGAATGGAAAGTTCTTAAAAGTGATAAAAGTGTACTTGATGTAGTTTTGTTTGATATAACAAGTTGTTACCACTAATTAATGTTAAAAGCAACTTTCTTTTAGAAGCTACTCAAGGTAGCTTCACAAAAGAAAATCTTAAACTTTATAAAAAAACTTTAAAAAGTGTTCTGTCAAACATAACCCAAAGAGTTTTTAGAAACTTTCTAAATAGTACAAAAAACTTATGAGGGCCAAAAATGCACATCCTGAAACTTGAGCATTGGTTTGAATCCAAAGGACTTTTGAATTTACACAGGATTCTAAAACAAATAAATCAATCTTTCCAATAATGATAAACCTAAAATGACTGAAAATGTAAACCCATGGGTCAATCTATAAGTAATAAACTGAGATCAAATTACTATATTCAAACCATAAAAGAAAATTCAAGAAAATGGTTGAATTTCAGACCTCATGGAAGCTAAAGACCGGAGTGGCCTCAGTGGTTATAGTGCCTTCACTGCACTCAATATCAACAGAGACATTAGGGATCATAAGCCCAGAACCGAGCTCGAGATTCATGGTGTGCTCTTCATCCATATGAACCAGGCGGGACCCTGGCGCGCCCTTGCAGTATAAGAGCCTGATATCTGAAGTAACATCAAACCCTCTGCCCAGAGCTTGGATTGAGTTGCTGATAGTGGTCATCAAGTTCTCCATCTGTGGTTGATCAGCCAAATCTGGACCATAAATTCCAGCCTATCGCTGCTGCAGCTTCTTCATTCGCGAATCTGGATTTTGAGGTTCGTTGATTCTTGATATTTTAATGGTTCTTTTTGCCTTATTATTTTTGGGGAAGGCGTTAGTGGAATGGTGGGATAGTCAGCGGTTGGACTTTGATGTTCGTTCAATGCGAAGCTTTTGAGTTTGACTGTAATAATGGCAAAAAACGCGTTGTCATGTATGGGGATGAGTGATGATTCCTACCACACCTGACACGTCCTTCCCTTTTTAGACTTTCCCTTCTCTTTTTTATTTTTATTGTTTGTATTAAATTTAAATTAGAGAGAATTTTCTAAATATGATTAAAACAAAATTAAGTTCATAAGTAAAATTATCGTTTTATTCTAAATGTAAGATTCATTCATTCCTATTTGGGGAAGTTTTAATCGACTTATTCTTTTAAAAGATCTAAATAAGTCCTATTTTGAGAATAAATTATATTTAGTCCTATTTTTACTTTATGTATTACCAATCCTATATTGAACAATTTGTATTTAAATACTCCCTCCGATCCTTAATTAACTTTACACTTTTCTTTTTGGGTCGTCCCATATTAAACTTTACACTTTCTTATTTGCCTTATTTGGCAAACAAATCTACACCAAATAGTGCAAAACAGTGTCAAACAATGTCTAACAGTGTCAAACAATGTAATCTACAGTAAAGTCAAATTTATTTCCTTAATATGTGTGAAGTCAAAGTGTAAACTTCATTAAGGGCCGGAGGGAGTAAATAATTTCAGCCTAAAAGTTTAGGACTTTTCACCTTTGAATTTTTTAGTGAATAATGTTAAACTTTAACTAATGAGTTTTTTCTCAAAATAATGCTAATTAAATAAATAATTTCTGAAATATTGTTGGATTAAAAATAATTCCCAAAATACTGTTGGGTTAACTGTAGTTAATGAAAGCCGCCATTTGAAGTGACGGCTATTCTCTTATAGTACACAAGCCGCCACTTCAAGTGGCGGCTCTTCTCTTACAGCACATTTTGTACATATATAAAACACAGTATGTTTCAAGAATTTGTTTAACTCCCTTCTGGATTGAATTTTGATCTGAAATTTGGTATGTATAAACTAGACTTGATGAGGAACATGCTCAAACAAATTCATAAAAAAATTTCACCAAAAAGACCCTCTAATGGTGTTGTTCGCAGGGGAGTTCCGGTGAGGACGTCCTGACAGGAACAAGACACACACACATATTATATAGACAGAGAATAGCGATCCTGTCAAACCGGCCTGACATGACTCACCGTCTGGCCGAGGGCATTTGGGGCCCTTCTCGGTGGACTGTTTTAAGCATGCCAAATTTTTCATCTAGTTTATTTATGCATGCCAAATTTCAGCTTAAAGTTGAATCGAGAAATCAGTCAAATAAATTGTTGAAAGCAACTGCGCTGTTTATATATATGACACCAGACATACTTAAATTTTTGCAAGATAACTGCGTTTTATATGTATATTCCGGCGCAGTTATCTTGCAAAACTCATTTGACGACCTTCCCGATTGAATGTTTTGCTAAAATTTGGTGTGGATAAACTAGACTTGATGAAGAACATACATAAAAAATTTAGCAAAAATAACACCAGGAACCGCCCCAAACAACGGAGGCCGGACGGGGCTCCTGTCCGGACCCGCCAGACAGGAAATGGACTATATATATATATTTAGGATCATGTGAGAATTTGATCTTAGGAGAGAAATGAGAACAAATAGGGGCCATTAGATCATCTTTTATATTAAACGTGTGACTCCTCTTCATTAAGGGTAAATAAGACATTTAATCACCTTACCATCCAAAGCACGTTGATTCTTTCCTTAATATCCTCCTACAAATTTGCACAATCTACGTAATTATTGACATAGTTTATTATACTTCACCTTGTTTATCCTTGCCATTAACCCACTGTGATCAATTTTCCATTCTTCTTGAACTTCAACCGTAGGGTCATATTCACCCTCTTCAATCCATATTGATGACACAGTCCTCCATTATCTTCATTAATTTAATAAATCTAGGTAATTACACTGAGAGGGTACGTTTCTCAACAACTTCATCTTCATGGATTGCAGTAATTGTCTTGCATTAACTTTATTTTCTAATTTTAACTTTTCACATGTAAATAATATTAATCCGTATATTTTTAATATACAGGAAGTAGCGATCATGAATCGTATTATTAGTGATAGTAATTATTATTACTAGTAGTTTTTGTTTGTTTGTTGCTTCTCTTATTTTATAAATCATCACTTATTGTTTATTTTTTATTATATTTGTTGATCGTACATTGATTCTGTTTATTGAAACTATGAATTATTGTAATTACTACGTATGAGTTACTGTTGTTTATTACAATTTGATCTCACAATTTTTTATGCACTCTCATGCTCATATGATGCACTTATGCAGTCCTATTTTGAAAAAAGATATGATTACACACAGATTTTTCTCAAATGTTTGCTTTCATTTTTGTAATGTTTTTTAGATTGTGTGTGCTGTGATATTCTTATTTAACTCACCACAAGTGCACTTACATGGATTATTTAATGCATTTTCATTCTACTATTATGTTCAATATTTTTTATAACACTCACACATGATTGCAGTTTGTCATGATTATGATTGCACCGTAATGGATTCAACAAGAAAGGAACTTAGCAAGATGAATCATCCAAGTGGCATGGAAGATATTTATACGTTGTCCCAACAACAATTGTGGTGCATTTGGAAGAAAGTGCATTTCATTCTGGAAAAAGTGGTTATGTAAAATTTTATAAAGGGAAATATAATAGTGCACTTTTGTATATATAATAATGCACATTATTACAGTGCATTTTATTTTGTAAAAAAATGTTAATATAGAAGTTTAGAAAGTATGATATAATAGTGTTTTTTCTATATATTTAATTTGCACATGATAATTGTTAATCAACACCCTTGTATATTTATTTTAAATCATTTTGAATAAAAACATATGAAGTGCACACCTGCATGTCTAAAGTGCAGTATAATGAGTAGAAAATGCAAGCCAATGATAGAAAATGTACAGTTCACAAAAGTGCAAATTAATGTAATAAAATGGTATTTCACTTCATACTCGTTTCATTGATAGATGGTGTTGATTATTTAAATGACTTCATGTGGAAATGTTAAATATTAAATTAATTAAATTGATGTTACAAAAAGTTTTTAAAAAGTATCATATACTAGTGCACATTAGTATGTTTTGAAATTGCACATGATAAAAGTGCAATTCATTTTGTAAAAAGAATGGTAGTATTAAATCTGAGAAAGGGTGATACAATAATTTGCTTTTGTATGTATTTAATATACATGTGGTACTAGATAGTTTACACCCATGTATATTCATATTAATTTTTAATTCAAATCATTTATACTTAAAATGTTTATGGAGGTGCACAATTGCATGGATAAAGAGTAGGTTATATTGTAGAAAGTGCAAACTAGTGACATAAAAGTGGTGTTTACAACATTGAAAATTAACTTAGTGAACACGTTATTTTTCTTTAGGTTTCTTACTTCATAAATGATGTTGATTATTTTAACTTTTATTAGTGCAACAAAAATATCATATGTAATAAAATTGATGTTGAATAATGTTTCAAATAAAAGTGCATCCATTCAATGTTGGAGGGCAAATGGCCAAATCCAGGGGATTCAATTGATGATATATTAAAAATGATAATGCACACTTTTTTAAATCAAAGTAATTATCCAAATTATATGTAAGTAAATACTAAATTTGGAAAGAAAGTTAAACAAGAGACCTAAAGTGAATTAAATTTAGCATTATTTCTTTGCTAGAGTAACTTGGAAAGCCCGGTGCAACCTTCACAATTCCAAAGTGCAAAATTGTATGAGCAATAGTGCACCTACACAATTAACAAATCTAATTCAATATTTGAGTCTATTATTTTTATTTATTTAAAATAAAAATCTAAATGAATCAACTATTAAAGGAAACCAACAGTCCGGAACTTTAGGGCTGTAGTGCCTTTAATGATCATATCTATTTATATGGAAATAATTGTGGCGGTTCTTCACTATCAAAATAAAATGATAATGAATTGATGGAGTATATGGCCCAGGGACCCCCGGCCCACATACTTCCTCTACTACAATCAGGCCCAACAGGCCCAAACGGGCCAAGCCCAGAAAAATGGAGCTCTAAGCAGCCCACAATACGCAAAGGGGTGCCTTCGGCCCCATGGCCGAAGGCTACCAGTGACGGAATCGAGCTCAGAAACATCACAGGAGATCAAGGCTTGAAAACCAAGCCTTCGGCAACTGCAGCCCTCGGCACGTAGGAGCCCTCGGTTAGAAGAGGCATCACAGGAGATCAAGGCTTGAAAACCAAGCCTTCGGCACCTGCAGCCCTCGGCAGGTAGGAGCCCTCGGTTAGAAGAGGCATCACAGAAGAACAAGGCTTGAAAACCAAGCCTTCGGCACCTACAGCCCTCGGCAGGTAGGAGCCCTCGATTAGAAGAGCCTTCGGCCCAGCACCCTTCAACCGAAGGCATCCACCTCGACAGAATATCCTCTTCACATGCACCTGGATCACCGTACCAAGTACAAACGTCACATCCAACCACCGCATTTAATGCGGCCACATGCGAGTGCCAGTGCCACCCCGGTTGAGGTGACCCCTCGACCACCAGAAAACTGACACGTGTCCTTATCTGGCATTTATTACTACTATAAATAGCACCCCTTTCCCCCATTGTAAACCACGCTTAATACATATCGAATATACACTCTATCTCTTACTTATTTGCTCTGACTTCTCTCTAGTTATTCTCCGCAATAACCCCTCGGATAAGCTACCCCCGGGTACACTATCCATCATTTGGTGCTCTCGTTGAGAGTCCGAACAATCAAGTAAGAAACCCTCCCCTTCAGCTAAAAACACCTATCAAAATGGGAAGAAACACCCGTGCCCAATCCAAGACTCATGAGGACAAGAACCTGGCCCTCGGCGACGTCGACGCCCTCGAAGCCTCTAACATGGCTCCCGAAGGCGGCGTCATCGCCGGGTTGGACCAGACGGATGTCGACCTACGCCATCAGATTCAACAGAATGCCCCCAATGCCCACCTCAGCATTGAGGCCAAAAAGAAGGACTGGAGCGAGAACCAAGTTAGCCCTCCGGTCA